TTAAAAAAAAAAAAAAAAAAAACAAGAAAGGGAGGAAACTCTTACAGTAGAGATGTACGACTAGGTCCGTTCCCAAGCTGGAATCAACCTGATGATAACTTCAAATCTTAAGTCCAGTAGTTTTGTGCCGGCGCGCCGCTACTGCTACCCGCGCCTTGAATCCTTAATTCTTTAAATTTTAAATTCTGATAAAATATACATATATATTCCAATTAATTGTAAATTCTCTCTAAATCCCATTTTTAGTGCTGGTTTTGGAACTTAAATGAATATTAAAATGTTTTCACTTTGTTTGGGGTGGGGGGATTTACTATGATCCACGGTAAATTTTGATATAGTGTCAAGGTAATTAATGTAATTATTCAGGCTCAATTTTAGCATCAAATAGAACTCCATACTCCAATTTATCAAACCCTAATAATACTCCAATTTAACAAACCCTAATACCACCCAAAGTGAGTTGATAATTTTTCTAATAAAATTAAGTTTAGTTCATGAATTTAAAAGTCGTATTTATTTAATTTTTTAACTCCAAGAAAAATGTTAAAAAGTCTTTGAATTTTAGAAATATCTTATCCTATTCACATTTTATAAAACATAATTGATGTTATAAAATTAAAATATTAATCTAATGAAACTCTTAGCTTAGAATTTTGAAATTAAACTTATAATTTAATCAATAACATACCATAGTGACTAAGAAAAAAACACATTACGTTTGGAACTATTTCAATTGAAATGAAGAGGTATTCAGTCAGTTGTAGCGATGAAATACTATCATGAAATAATTTACAACCAAAGAGCTTAAGCTATAAATGGAATTTGTAGGGTAGTTTGTAAATAGAGAGAAATTATACCCCACAAGGAAAATCAATGATCCACTATGGATAAAATATTTTTGCCCATTCAACGATTAAACAGCTTCAAAAGGATGGAACAATCATTTGATTCTACGACATTAGCAGCTAATGAGGCTTAGGGTTCTATACTTCCTTTCACAACCTGACTTCAAATTGCTTTTGAAAAAGAAAAATTGAAATGAGTGGTCTACAGCAGGCACATATTTGGGCAAATAAAGTGACATTGAACAAAAAATTATCAGGAAAATACATGCTGGGAAACTAGCCATCTCTTCCAATAGGATAAAACAAAAATATCATCATCAATCAAGAACCCAACAGACAGATAACTAGCTCCTTCAACTCAGATGTTTCAAAGGGACTGATGGAAGCTGCACATTAGTTTCCGGAAGCTATGGGGACAATTGCTGGCTTTGCATCCTCAGCCTTTTCGTGTTCTTTGTTTAACATCTAGAAAACAGATTTTTCCACCAGAGCAATCAACGATTATGAGCTAATTGAGAGGATATGTGTGCATAAAAGAGCGTTCGAAAGTCATTCCAGGTCAATTTTAATGGTATGAAAATCACGTTAAAAAGAGTAAAATCAAGTATTAAATAGGCATATGTAATAGAGAATTGGAGGATGACAAAGGTAATTTCAACCATTTCAAAATCACTACTAAACATACCATAAATCGGCTGGAAATGATAGAAACTAACCTTGTTATTGATTAAATTATGAAGTGCAATGACACTCCGGATGAGTGAGGAAAGATAAATAACCAGCATCATATCATTGGTTTTTACTGCAAATGATTTTATCAACTCTGCCACGTTAAGATTTGGAAGAAGGTTGAATACATCCTGCAATTTTGAGTAGAAATTAAACATCGGTATAGCTTTTCAGGGTGTTTTCAGGGTGGAAACTTGTAAATCATAATCAATTGGTCTGTTCCATGTTAATACGTCTCGCACCACATAATGCATAAAACATGATGGAAAACAAATCACACCACAATGAGGAAGTTCTAACATAATAGTGTGTGTTACGTAACAAATCTACAAAGATGGATGGATGCATTTGAAAAATTCACGAGACATATGTGACGAATGCATCTTATTATTGGCCATGACATCAATGTAATCCCTTTCCCCTCTTCACTGGATCTGTATAGAGACTGCCTATTAATTGATCGTTCTTTTCTTGGGGGGGGAACCTATTGGGTCTTTAATCGTTTCACAAATATGAGATATCAATATCCTGGAAATGATAGTCAAGGCAATTTGATTTCATGATATCCTAGTTGAAGACAAATTACAAAGGAATTCCCATCCTTCGGTTATTAAAACAATGCTTGAGTGAGATGAGACACAACGTGAACTTATTGAATAAAAAAAAAGGAAACAACTTTTTATAAGCATATAATACTGAAACCAATAAAACTTAGGCCGATAACGTTCAATTAACAAACAAACGAATAAAATAGACATCAGAAAAAGAAGAAAAAAAGAAAGGACCACATAGGCAAGGCACCTGAATATATGACATTTTTTCTTAATAAATGTTTATTCCTTTTTTAAAACTGCAAGCAAGGTTACCTTGCTTAGCATCAGATTACGCAGACAAAGGTGCATTCAGCACCTAAACATGCCTTCTAAAAAAGTGGACAACATGTTTTGAGTTGTGGAATATTTGTCATTTTGATTGGACAAACAGTGTAGAAAGCACATCATCAAATACATTCTACAGTACACAAGCACACGCGCAGGTGAATCAATATAATGCAGTGACATGCATAAAAACTGCACAGAAATGGTTAGAGAAAATGGTACCTGTAAATGGTAAAGAATCTCATGATTTAGCGGAAGCTTCTCATCAATAACAAGATCAAGGTAGCCACGAATCTCACGCAGTCGTGCATCCAAACCTTTCAAAGCAGTAAGTTTTCCTGTCACCTATAAAATACCATTTATATTAGTCAATGCCTTCGTGACCTATGCTGTCATCTAAAACTTCAAGTTTCATACATCAAGTCAATCAAAAAGGTTTTGGATCAGTTTAAATAAAAGAAAACTGATTGGAGAAAACTGCAATGCGAGACAAGTAACAGTAAAGGAAATTAACCTCATTGGCAAGTGTACTAATGGTGGTATCCTTGACATCCCTTAGTAAGTGTTCCACACCTGTATTTAGACAAACCAAGAGTGTTATGTGGTAAAAAAAAACTGATGAACACCCTAAAACGGGAGACTTGAAATTCATTTTAGTACTCACCAATTTCCTCAACCTCGTGGGCAGCAATAACTGAAGGTACATGAACAAAGATCTTCTGGCTCTTTTGGGTAGCATTCTGTCACCCAAATTAGAAGATATGTAACGTCAATTAGAAAATGATCTTAATAGTAAATTCAGAAGCATTAACTCTCTAACGCATCGAACATTTTGGGGAAAAGAGAACATGAAATCATACCTCTTTAACTTCTTCAACATCATAGTAGGCTTTAGTAGGTATTCCCAACTCCTTTGGTTGAACATCAATAATCACAAGCACGGGATTTGGTACATAACTAAAAATCCACCGGAGAAGATATGAGTGACTCATGGTGTAACCAGACATACAACATCGGTCAAAATGATGCAATATTCATCATTTACTGACTATGTGATAGCCTCCTAAAGAATCTAAATTCATGGTATAAAATTACATAAATAAGGGCTTAAAAAACTAGAAAAAAGGAACACAGAGAGGACAGGATAGAGAACAAGCAGAATAGTTTTTAAGAATGCAGAATTTGAGAACATGAATATAAAATTGTGAGAACCTCAATACCAAACATGTATGGAGATCTTACTTGTGGAACAATTGGTGAATATCTAGATCATTCTCCCGTAGCTTTGGACCTGTGCTATACCAACCTACGATGTGCTCCTTAGCTGACAAGTCCACAAATTCATGGCTGATATAAACAAACAATTCTAAACATAGAAAAGGCACAAAAGGTACTAGAAGTAGAGAAAATACCATTTATTCTCTTGAACATTGAAAACATCGATTCGTGATAGTTGTGATCAAGAAACCATATGCTTGGATCTTTCTCATCTTCTTCAAAGGGGACTGAAATAAAGAGCGTGGACTACCTATCAGAACAACAACGACCCTACTGGACTCATACATGGCTAGATTATAAACAGTGATTTGGAACCACAAAAGTCTACAGTCGATATAAATAAAATCAGTTAAAATATACAATGGTTCAACCCAAAATCCAAACAATCTCGAGGCAGATGGATAATACTGATGTTATACATTTAATAAAAAAAATTCAGTGGGTCCCTAAAGTATCGATAATTTTGGCTGCCAAAACCTTAACCTGCACGAGTCAATCGAGTATAGCTTACCAACGAATTTCCAGTGTCATGCGAACTATGAAAAGAGTAACAACCAAAGCAGGTGAAAAAAGCAGGAAACTGACTGCCAGAGTCCTAAGTAATTCATAATGAGAGGCAACCTAAGAGATTTTGCGAACTAGGACAACCAAAGCACAAATAATCGCTTCTTTTCATGCCTTTTTTGCGAATCAGGGCAACCACAAGAAAGGTACATTTCCAGTCTCTGTAGCCAATTCTAAACTTATGTTCAACGAACGTCAAATTCAGACAAATACCCAACAAATGGCCCAGATTCCTTGCACCATATCATACAAATCAACCAGCGTCCACTTTCAGCTATTAAACCGAATCAAACGACCAGAAAATTCAGATCCAAACACAATACAGCAATATTTTTGACAATAGGCGAGAGAGAAATCGGAAAGAGAGATGAATACGGACCTGCATAGCTATTGCTGACATCGACAGTGCCCTTGAAAGAGCTACCGAGTAAAACTCCTACAACTCGTTTGCGAGATTCCTTAGCAACTCGATTGTAGTTATCGACGATACTGAGCAAAACCAGAGGGTGGACTACAACCTTCTCGACTGGCCTCGATGATATTTGCTGCGTCTTGATCACATCCATGGTGGAATTTTTTGCAGTGTCTCCGAGTTCAATCGAATTTGCGGTTCTGTGGTGAGGAGGTTAAACCCACTTAGAAATGGAGAAGCAGCTTATTAAGCCCTTTTTTGTTGAGGAGTTTTCTTGGCAGAAAAGCAAACCTCCGTTGTGATGAGCCAGCGACCCACTCGGCCCAAAGAATCCACAAATTCTAAACCGCGCTTTTCGTTTGCTTCTTCCGAGGTCCAGAGGGAGATAAGCCCAAAACAATCCGCCAAACCTCAGGTGAGCCCATAGCCCAATATCAGACAAGAAACTGCTTCACTAAGATACTCATATTCACAATTATTAAATAATATATTTATTTTCATTTATTAGCTTTACACATAAAACAGCTATTAAATACCAAAAATACCTAAATTTACAAATTAAGTTGAATTGTCAATTAGTTGACATTTATGACTTGTCATCTCTTCTCCTTCTTCGGTCTCTATATCATTCATTATTTTCTTTTCCCACCTCTGAGAATGTTCTTGTACTAGTTTTCGTTTATTGTTTGTTTGTAAAATATTGCAAATCGAAACAATAGATACGATATTCTTTTGTACACGGTCTTTGTTTATTGTTATAATTTTTTCTAAATACGTGGAAGTTAAAATTTGAATTTGTAAGATAAATTATATTGAATATATGTAGGTGTTGTTATGTAACTATCCATCCATAAGGTACTAGATGTACTCATAAATTTTGGTTGGTGTGAGATTGATTGCATATCCTCCACTACCATTGCCAGCGTTGTTAATAAATAAATACACATAGCACTATTATTTATGTGTACCTCTTACACTCTCCTCTCCTCTACCAAACTATAACCTAAGAACCCTTTCTTTTGAATGAGTCAATCAGAATGAGTGATGCAGGAGGAGCATATGGTATCACATTTTTGGCTTTTATGGCGCTGCGTTTTGTGGCTCTAAAGCAATGAGTAATGCAGAGACATAAAGGCCCACTCAATTTATGCCCTCCACTTTACCTTACCATGTCAATAGGGAGTCAATTTTAAAACAACACAAATAAGGACAATTTGTGTATACATATTGAAAAGGAACAATATACATAAAACCATTTATATTTATTTTTTTTCTAATAATTGAACTTTTTATGGAAAATAGAACCGATAGAGATTAGAGAATAATGGGGTTTTGGTTTTAAGTAGATTTCTTAACTGATTTGCCATTTTCTTTTTCAGGGGAAACTCGGCCGTCAGTTCCGGAGAGAATGCCGTATTTCCCCTTTCTGGTCAAATTAGTACACTCAAATCCTAGGGTTCCGCCAAGTACCTTTTGAATGTAATTCGCCACCTCAATCGCTGATCTTCCGCTGCTGCACGTCATTTCCGCTGGCAACTGATTCAGAAACGTGATTTCGTATGTCGGTCTCGGATTCATGAACACAAAGTACGGATCGAGCAATTTGTGTCCATTCACCGTCGTCCCGTAAAATACACTCTGTTTCGTGTTAATGGCGACGGGGACGATTCTATCTGTTAGCTCCGCGAAAAGAGCACTGAATCGTAATAGGAATGGCTCTCTGCAAGTGGTCCCTTCGGGGCAAATCACGAGGTCGCCATCTTCAAGAAGGCGTTTAATGTGAGCCGCATCTTTCTCTCTCTCTCTCGACAGAGCAACGGCCTTGATCGGAGAAATTATCTCCGTGAATTTGCTTATACTGTACGTAACGCAGCTGATTTTTCTACCTAAAGCGACCGCGATGATCACCGGATCTAGGACAGTGCGGTGGTTGCAGACGAAGAGGACGCCGCTCTGGCCTTTCTTCGGCGGCGGCGGCGGAGTGCCCTTAACAACGACCTTGATTCCGAGGAATTTGTAGTTGTACCAAGCGATTCTTTCCGGCAACGGAATGTTGGTGTAGACTCTGAAAATTGAAAGGATCACGCCGATCGGCAGCCATAAGAAGGTCAATAACGCCGCCAGTGGTGTCGGCCGTTGCACAAATCGGCCGTCGTGGAAAATAATCGGGCTTAAAAGTTTGTTTCTCGGCAGCGGCTCACACTTGGATCGTGGGACCATATATCCTTCCTGAATCATCAGCCACAAATTTCAAGGTCAGATTATACGTAAATTATAATTTTTTTTCTTTAATCCAATTTAAGTATTTATTAATAAAAAATCACTCAAATATTGATAATTGTGATAACTAATATTCATTCATGATGCATGAAACTGAGTTTGGAACGTACATGAGGAAGATGTGGGTGTGACATGAAAATCTTGTGGTTTATATTAATCGCTCCATAATGTTACTAAATAATAATGCAACAAAACAATATTAATTGAAGGCACGTGCTAGGAAAAAGGGGAAAAAAAAAAAGAAAAAAAAAAGGAAGAAACAGCTGGAGGATTTTAATTATGTTGAAAAATGAAATTTATTGAGGTTTGGTTGGAGATTGAATCACAAAAAATGTAACAAGTGATTTAGTGACCATTAATTGCCATTAAATTAAATGTAACAATATTAATTGAGAGCATGTAATTGGGCCACGTGGGTGGAAATTAGGAGGTAAATAAATTAACAAATTTAGGAAATATGAGATTAATAATAATAATATGAGATGGGGAGAGATGGGAAATAGACCTTGCAAATTGACATGAAATCATGGTCAGTTTCTCTATCACCAAGCCCTAAATCAGGCAAATCAGTGCCCACTTCCTTAATAAGGCCCGTCTTCTTCAGATCGCCAACCAGAACTCCGGGTTTTTTAACCAACCCGGTAGCCCGACCCGATTTCGTCACTCTCAGCTCTGTTCCGATGACCTTATCGGCTCCCAAAAACGTTTTCACGAAGGGTTCCACCATAATCCTCGGATTAGCCGTCACAATAATCCTCTTCCCGAACGAATTGAAGACCTTCCAAGTTTGGGGATGAACATCCTCAGAGTAAAATTTGGGCAACACAGAGCGAGCCACCATTTCGATATCCGCGACTTTCAAACCGGCGAAGGCCACGAAAATGAAAGTCTGAATGGCCAGGGATTCGGACAAGAACATGTAAATTAAGTAAACTAAGGGCGACGAAATCAGAAGGAGGAGTCCCCGGAAAATGCTTCCGGCTTCGACGGCGACCAGCATGTAGTAAGGGAATGCGCTGTGAGAAATTAAAAGAGTTCCGTCTAAATCGGCGGCCACCGTCTGGTCTGACCGCCGGTCAATGTTGCATTTTGAGATGGCCGGAAATTGACGGTAAGCCCCCATCGGAATTCTCAGACTTGCGAGAGGGAAATCAGAGAGAGAGAGAGAAATGGCTGTGAGTTGGGAAGCGAAGAGGGGAGAAAATGGGGTTTATAAAGAGACAGTAGGCAAACTTCAGATTTTTTTTAGTGTGATTTAAATATATAAATTACTTGAAAAAAAAAAAAAAAAAAAAAAAAGGCAGTTAAAACGAGTGCTGAAGCACCATTATGCTCACCCGAGTCCCATGTGCACGAGTAAGTAACTAAATGAATTGCATTCAATTGCTATCACTTAAAGTAATTTGTGTCTTTGATTTACACAAGGTACAAGTTGAAGTATAATTTATTATCCATGAAACTCATGTTGGGTACGAATTCGATTTTTGTTGTTGTCACAAACAGAACATTAACAAAGATCTATCATCAATTCTCTGAATTTTTTTGTTTGATCGATTAATTCGTTAGTTTTTTTTGTTTCATTTATGGTCTAATTTATTTTATATGATAATGGGCTAATTTATTGGATTAATCTACATGTTGTTAGTAAGGTTTTGGACTGATTTGGGTTGCCTTTTTTTTTATACTAATTTTCATGTTGTTTTTTTTAAGTCCATAAGTATTTTATAAATTAATGTAAAATTAAACAAAGTAATTAATATATGAATAATACATTAAAATTGTTGAAAACAATAAACAATGATGTGAATTCAACGTGATCTTATTGCTTCCATAGCTTTGCTACAAGAAACTATTAAAAAAAAATATTATGGACATTGTGTGACCTACAAACGTGTACGACAAGCTAAGCAAAAACTATAAGTTAAAGTTTTTGGTCAAATTCTTTTAGTTATTTTATTATGTAAAAAATACTTTTAAGTCCTATAAATCAAATAAAGTTTATATTTGTTTAGTCTCGCTAGCTTAAAAAAAAATATATTAATATTTTATGCGATGAAAAATTATATAAATACAAACATTATAACTATTATAATAATAATATGGTAAAGTTGAGAGAGTAGTAGAGAATTAAATGGGGTTGGTTAAGGATTGTTTTATTATTAATTTTGTTGAGAAATAAATAAAAAGAAGAAAAGTTTAAGGTGGATTTGAGTGGTTGAAGGTGGATAACAACACCTCCATAACATTGAATAAGCCTACTTTTTTAGTTCATAGGCGCCGCCGCCCGCTCACTGCCGCATTTAACCTCTTCCGCTACTTGCCAATGGCATGGACTTAGTAACACGATATGAGGTTTCCATACTCGTATCAATAGTTTCGTTTTCCTCTCAATCTGATACTAGATCCCACAGTACTAATGTTTATGTGAGATCTTATAATTCGCCCACCTTCAAAGCCCAGCGTCTTCGTAGATACATTGTCCAGTATCTGGCTCTAACATCATTTATAATAACTCAAGTCATGGACTTGATACTCAACATGGGTTGGCAAAATCCCTATTAGTCCTCGTTAGTCATCGCTGACACTCGTTTCTCTCTCCCATCAATGTCGATTTTAACTATTACAAACTGGGTATGGATTGATTTTTTCTCAACAACCATGTTTATTAGGTTTGTTCTTGTCCTTTCACCTGAAAATGTCTTCACACTTGCACTCTCATGTCAACAACACCCAACCAAATTATTATGTCTGTCTTAGATAATACAAGGAGAAAGCACCAAAGTTTTACCATATATTTGGGCGAAGTAAAATACAAAAGTTTTACATTTGGACAACAACCAAGATTTCTTGCGATATTTACCCAACCAACACAAACAATTAATTATGGTAGTTTTTTCAAAAACTATATTTTTAAAAACAGGTTTAATTGTAATTAGTTTCTTGAGCATTTAGGTTTTATTAGATGTCAAACCAAAACCCTCTTTTTCTTACAGCCATATCAAGAACAGTCAATTCATAAAATCAGTATTTAAATAAATAAATAAATAATTAAATATAAAAATGTTTGAATTAAATGTGAAACTGTGGATTTTATTGTTGAGAGTAGGAGCCTTCTCTCAACTCCTCTACATTTATTCTTACAACTACTTACAACTGTCTTCCAACTTTTAATAATATTATATTATTATTATTATTTTTTTTTTAATCATAAATGATAAAATTAAAAGAAAAAAACAAAATACTTTTAATTATTTTTCCATCTATCTTATATTAAATATTTTAAATGTCTAGTTAATGACATAATTAAATACAAAGTGAACATGAAATAAATGCATAAATGTAGTTATAATGTGGAATATATCACATGAAAAATTTATGAATAAAAGAAAAAATGAACACGTAATTAAACTATAAATATCGTTCTTAATCACGAAATGAATTAAACTTGAATATTTCATGGACCTAACTTAGTAGCATTTATTTATGCACGACAGTTCTAAATCAACCAAATATGGTGTACATAATTTTAACCTAAGCTATTTTTGTGACAAAATTCTATGAAAACTATAATATGGTCTATATACCTAACTTAGGAACATTTATATTTGAAATGAAAGTCATTTATTTTTGTGGAAAGTTTAATTTATATCACCGAACTTACCGGCGAGTTTGTAAAATAATTTTAGAATAAACACAAATAAATTAAAGAAGGTGACCATTTTATTTTGTATTTTTAAGAATAGACTGTTTTGTTAAATATTGGAAAACAAAATGGTGACAATTAATGATTTGTAACGTTAATATCAATTAATATGAGAATTTAAATTATGAACTTGAAACAAAAATAATGTATCATCGTATTTATTAAAGCTTATTCATATTCGCATATAATTATTTAATGAAAATTTAAAATAACATGAAAGGATAATATACGAGGAGGATAGCATGATTATATATTTTTTATTAATTATTTATCATATTTCTATCAACATTTTAATAATTAATTAAATGGCGAAAGAGTTTGAGAAGTAATTTTAATTAATTAAAATTAGCCTTTACTGTTTATTGCAAATCCAATTCAGTAGTAGACGAATTGCCAACTCAGGGGAACCAACGGGGGAGGGGATTTAATTGGGCCTTTTACTTAAGTTGAGCTCAGCCCACATTTAAGCCCAATTATCATTGGGCTGAAATATGAACCGGCCCATATTTTCGGGCCCAAACTCACTAGTAAAATCCACAAATGTTCTTTAAAATAGGTAAGTTTACTAGTCTTTTCTTTTCTTTCCCTTTCCCTCTTGGTTTCTACGCTCGAATCTGTTAGGAATCACGACTCTCTACAATGATATGATATTGTGGAGTAATCCTCACTTATAAATCCACGATCATTTTCTAAATTAGCCCATGTGAAACTCACTCTTAATAATCTTCAACACAATCAACTCAGCATGAAGCATTGGATCCCACGCTAAGAACTCCAAAATGCACGAGGTTGCATATTGTGATGAGAAAAGTGACATTAGATTTGGCTACAACCATGCTAGGGACAATCATGAGAAAAGTGGCCACCATGTTTACGCTAATGTTAGATCCACATTGGTTGAGTTGGGAGTAGATTTGTATGACGCGTTCAAAAAACCTTAAGTGGAAACCGAAGTCCAACCAGCCCACTTTGTTACTAATCCATGTTGGTTATGGTGGCTAATCAATGTATAGAATTACAGAATCCGTTTGTATATTATACTCCCATAGAACAGTGATAGATAATTTGTCAACTTCCATATAAAATCTTTAGATACGTTTGCTGATATGTTTGACTTTTGAATAAATAGAATTATAAATATTATCAACTTCCATATAGAATCTTTAGATAATAACCACTGAAATCTCACTTTTCTAAATTAAAAAATAAAAAAATAGTTCACCTTTAGTAAAGATATATATATTTAATAAATAAAAAAAGGGCGAAAAAAGCGTAAAATGTGGACATAAGCTAATTTCCAACAGAATCCTAATGGTCTTCCCATGTCTGCCATATTCATCAAATCCACAAAAACAGGAGAAGAAGATCAAGTGGAGGCATGCACATTAGACATAGACAAGCTGGAACACAGTGCCCACTGCCCAGCCAGACCTTTTGTTTGTTTGGACTTATTTATGTTAATGTTTCAAACATGCTGATTTAATAATGTTTTTACAAGGTTTAATATTTTTGAGATATTAATGTTGTATAAATTATGGTAAACCTCCACAGTTTTTTAAGAAATGCTTCGTTTTCCTCTTTAATCTCGATCTTATCAGCTTGAAATCAAAATTGAAAAGAAAAAACAAAAGGGTTTTTTTCTTAATCCAAATACTTTGTGAAGCTGGATGTTTTCTGCCCCAGATTGGTTGGTCTGTTTCAGCAATTGGTCATGGAGGTTTGGCCGAAAAGATAGTTTTTTATGACCCGAAACCGAAAGGCACAAACACAGAAAAAGGGAAGAAATGCAAAAAGAAAATTATACTAAAGAAAAAGGATACAATAGGGTGGCCAGCACGTGTAGAGATGATTAAAAGCTTTTCCCTTTATTTTCCTTTTTCCAATGAAAATCAACAAACTTTCAAATTAAAAAAAAAAAAAAAAAAAAAAAAAAAAAGGGTCTGCCACAGTGATGTGTTCATTCATAATTCAACAGTTTCGATGGCCGAGCAGAAGAAGAAGAAGAAAACAGCATTCTGTGCTTTCTTCTTTCATTCATTTGAAAAGGCAAAAAAAAAAAAAAAAAAGGGTCTGCCACAGTGATGTGTTCATTCATAATTCAACAGTTTCGATGGCCGAGCAGAAGAAGAAGAAGAAAACAGCATTCTGTGCTTTCTTCTTTCATTCATTTGAAAAGGCAAAAAAAAAAAAAAAAAAGGGTCTGCCACAGTGATGTGTTCATTCATAATTCAACAGTTTCGATGGCCGAGCAGAAGAAGAAGAAGAAAACAGCATTCTGTGCTTTCTTCTTTCATTCATTTGAAAAGGCAAAAAAAAAAAAAAAAAAGGGTCTGCCACAGTGATGTGTTCATTCATAATTCAACAGTTTCGATGGCCGAGCAGAAGAAGAAGAAGAAAACAGCATTCTGTGCTTTCTTCTTTCATTCATTTGAAAAGGCAAAAAAAAAAAAAAAAAAGGGTCTGCCACAGTGATGTGTTC